ATTATGGAGGACACATTTCTTGCCATTGATGTCGCAGGTCGAAAAAAGCAATCTACATTGAAAGATTTTTTTAAGTAAAACGATGAACGTTTTTTGGGTAGAGACAAATCGAGATGATTACTACAGGAAACGACATCGATGATTTCCCTCGGATGTTACTGTTACTTCTGAATTTTAAAGTTTTAAATTGAAAATGTTCTTGAATTTTATGTCTCGATTGACAACCGTTGTACTTATAGTTTACAATATAAAATGAATAAAAGTAATGATTTCTACGTGTAGTATTGAATTTTTGGTAATTTTAAATTACCCCGCTATAACGAATATTTCTGTTGTTGACCGGATAATTCGTTATAACGGGGTCTTCGCTATAACGAAGACCCCGGTATAACGAACATTTTTTTCGGTACCGTGACACTTCGTTATAGCGGGGTTTCACTGTATTGCACTTTTAAACATGAACTCATGTGTAACCTACTGCTAAGGCATGTACAAACATTGATTTCACTATGTCCTGTAAAACACACAAAAAAATCCCTGTTCTATAGGGTACAATTGAAAGTCATACCTTTTTACATTGGAGACTTCAGAACTCACATCTTCGTCCTCATCCTAAAAATAATTAAAGGAATTGAAAGGTTGACTTAGAGGAGACACATTTAGAGATCAACTTCAAGGTTAAACAGCCTACTTCTTTATCAAAAGTTTACTGTCGATTTTAAGCATGCTTATCTCCCTGGGCAATTGCAAGTCTTGTGTCCCCACGGTTGGGAATTTGTCCCATTTTCACCCAATTTATCTTAAAATTTTGCACAAAGCTTTCCAAAATGGCCTTGCCAAGGCCTTTTCTTTGCAATACAGAGCTTGCCTCTACATCTACTTCTCTATCTTTACCACTGCCTAGTGTTCAATAAGGATGATATTAGTCTGTGAACTGCCAAGTGGAGTGGGGCAAAAAGAAAAATTGGCAAAAGAAGCAAGTTGAGCAAGGCCTTCCCCGCTAGCAGAGGTCTCTCACGACGAGGCAAAAATGAGAGAAAGAAAGGGGACCTTTCTCTCATTTTTGCCTCGTCGTGAGAGACCTCTGCTAGCAGGGAAAGCAAGGCCTGGGGGAGACTAAAAGGTGAGGGAGCCTATAGAATTTGTTTTGATGCCACCCATCCATGATACCAGATTCACATATCATGATCTGATTGGTAGATCGCTGACTGTTGACACTTGAGCTATGAATACCCATGAAAAATACCCGCATGTGCGAGAATGTTATTGAAGCCAATCCATTCAACCCCTAACCCTGAGACTACCTCGTCTCGGCTCCCCTGAAAGTTGGGGCAGTAGTGCCAAATTTTTTTGGGTACCAATGTGTTTTCACGTTGGTAATTACGAGTGCCACGCCCAAAAGTTACCAGCATGGTACCAAAAATTTGGGGTGATGTACCAATATTTTGCATGTGTAAATGGGGTTTAAGTTACTATTGTGAGAAATCGATAAACAAACCCTTCATGAGGGCAGCATGTTTCTAAATCGGAAATATTTTGTATAAATATTAAAAAAACATTATTGGATTCAGCATTTGGATGCATCTGTCTATTTCAGTTTCTTTATATCATACTCAGCCTGTCTTAAAAGCTCATTTTCGGGGGCGTTTTATCAGATTCTAGGGTTGTGCTCAATGTCGAAAAATTAATCGAGGTACGAATGTCTTAAATCAACAGAGGAGGAAGTAGAACTCCACTCAGTTTGGGATTAATACCCAAGTTAATTCTTATACCAAATGAAGGCGCATTATTAAAATAACACAATGCAGAGTTCCATAACACAATGCAATTGTAGTTCACATGGATACTGACCGGTACAGGGCTTTTTCTCTCGCACTGTTCGGAGAGCTTCTCGATTATTGAGTGAAGCTTCAACCTAAAGGATTTGATAAAAGGTTCAATACAAGTTGATCCAGCATTTATTCATTATTTATCGCCAGAAAAACGAACTTACCCGCGTCGCTTAGTCGCCATATTAATGTGACTTTATGTGCTTTCAATGCATACTTCAAGTGCATCGCTTGGAGTGTACCTTGTCCCAAGTCTACCTCAGCCGAAGCGAATGCAGCAGCCTGGGTACAATATTTTTCCAGCATGGCGCCAGATGTGTGAAGAAGAGCTCCACTTAAAGGAAGTGTTGATCATGGAGAACCACAAGGCCAAACTGCTGCATCTTTTAGAAGATGCACTGGTATGATTATTTTTATCTTATTTTATTTCTTTCTTTGTTGCTCCCATTTGAGTTACAGTAACACGATGTGCGGAAGCGTTCCAGGAAGTTTCGGTTTTTGATTCCCTTATTGAGTTATTCTCACAACGTTACGGAGTTGCTGGACGATCTGGATGTGTTTGTATTCCCAGTTGAAACTGTTAACGTAAGCCGTAGTAGCAATCCAGACGGCGGCGAATGCAGTTTAAAATAGAGTTGATGCTTTTCAACACAAAAAATAATATTGTATTCTTGTAATCTAGCTAGTTCAATTGCTTATTGCTATGTGGCTGGATAGTTCTCAGCATCATAATCGATCATCTTAATCTCCTTCTCTTTTTTTAGGGGATTGAAGCCATTGAGACTGCATTCTGTGGGTATGTATGATTCGTTTATTATTTACTATATTCAACATCCCTTAAAAAAGTTAGTTAAGACCATTTACTACTAGCTATCTGGCGAAAAAAAAAAACACCAAAAACATTGTTTTTGGCACTGCACTGGCTTAAATTAGGAAAACTGTCGGCCAACTGTTGAAAATTCGTCAGCTGGCAGTTGGCCATTTGTTGGCCCACTGTTGGCTGCTTATCGGCCATTTGTCCACCAACTTATTTCCCTTCATTCTCACTACTGTCCCTTTTTGGCTTCACCAGGTTTTTGCGATGACGTATTTCTAGTTATTATAATGTCACAAGGAGTACATGTTCAAGGAACATGGACGAGGGGTGAATGTGTTATAAGACACAAAAGGAACTGGAAATGTTTTTGCTTCTAACACCTAAAGCACCTAAATGACCAAATCAAGGGTGAAGAAATCATGAAACACTTTAACAGTTGAAGCATTTTGTCTTTAGGATGATTGTTCACAATGACGGTGATGACGATAAAGATGTCAAGGAGCTTTTTCAACAAGTATTTAAACCATTCTGGGCTGGTGTTCCTGTGGTAAGAGTATTCATTAACATCAAAATAATGTAAATATATCAATGTACCATGTTTTCGTGCAAAGAATTGGTGATTTTACCTCACAACCCAGATTAGCTTTATCTTGGTGTAGAGTCCACTTTAAATATCAAGAATAGTAAGAAACGTAGGTCTATAACAGGAAAATGTTTTGAAGCAAGAGATTATTAACCTACAGTTGTAATACCTTTTGTTTAAACTCACAAAATTGCTGCCTAGTGAGCTCTGTTGGAGGAGCACTGGTTTGCTGAGCAGGAGGTCATGACTTCAAACCCCAGTAGGATTATCAACCAGCATCATAGTCTCACTAACTTGAGGGCCTTTAGCCTCGCCCTGTGACCCTAGCCTGAAAAAAACAGCTGATATTTTGTGATGCCACCAACGGTTTCCCTGTAAAATGATGTCTGCTCAGAGTAGTGACACATCATCAGTATTGAATTTCTCCACTTGTTCCTCTGATGTCACTTTGTGGGGGAGATGTTGGTGACATCACAAAGTTAATGCTGGGTGTTTTTTCAGGCTAATGTTACCCTCTTTTATTGTTATTATTTGTATTAGTATTAGTAGTAGTATTGTCAGAAAATTCTACTAATTCTTAATATGTAACTGAAGGTACATGAAGGACTAAATTGAAATGACATAAATCAATCTAACATACTCTCTTCTTGCTGCTGTTGGTGCTGTTTTATTGAGCCATAGAAGGCTCATTCTCTTAACTGAAGCTTTTTGGTCTCTTAAATGGAAATTATTCCTTCCATGATGACTAGTTTTCTTTGCAATGGCTGTTATTCAGTGATTGTGAATTTTTGTCTTTTGCTACTGTAGGATGCTAGAGAGCAACTACTTCTTGATTT